CCCAACGAGATGGATCAGCCAGGTGACATCATTGATGGCATCAAGTGTGGCGGCGGTAGTGAGGTTGGCCCAGGATCGGACATTGTTTCATTCTGGTGTGCATGGGGTCGCTATGAATCGGTTCCGACTCGATGGCACCTGACAACAACAACAACCCTAATGAGACTAAAACAAGTGTATTACTGAGAGACTTTGTTAGCAGCCATCTGATCACAGAGACATGTTTAAACATGTTTTGTTTGGAATACACCCATGCATGTATGAACTGGAACCCTAGTAGCAGTGCTTTTTGATTTATCCCTATATTTATGACAAATTTCTTTTCTAAACAAAGAATCTAGTGGAAATAGATAAAGATAGAGAAGAACTAAGAGTTGATGATCATTATATCTGAGTGATGAACACATGGGAATTCACTGTACAATTCTCTATTTTGTGAATGTTTATATCAATAAATTTGAACATTTTTTTTAAATGAACAAATTTATGGAATTAAGGATTTGGACAAATGTGCTTTGAGGAAAGTATGGATTTGTAGATAGTGACTATAGATTTCAATTGGGTCAAATAATAAAGTTGTGATCTGAAAATACAGGAGATAATTACAAAGTGGAGGTGTTAAAGCTTGTATTGACAAAGTCAGAGTATGATCCTTAGGGTAGCTCAGATGGGATGGAGGAAATTGTTGTTGGAAGTGATAAGGCCAAAGGTATGCATTGATGTTGAAGTCTTGAAAAACAGCAGGAAACAATGGAAAATAGACCAAGCAAACATGTCCATGACCCTGAAACCAGAAGACCTACGTGGTGGCTAGCTACCATTAGCAACTGCTCTAGAAAGGATCTCATTAGAAGATCCTGAATACAGTGAGAGAAAAATGGGGAACAAAAGAAATTGTAAAAACAAACAGCTTTTTTTTTTTGTCAGATAGAGACTGGTAGAGCTGCAACTACATCCTTAACTACCCTTCAGGTCTGAAACTGAACTCTCTCCCTCATTGCTCAATTTCCGGCCAAACAAAAGACAGTCTATAAGGGGAACAGGAACACTAGGGAGGTATATGTTCCTTAGAATTACCAACTATTTGAGATCAAAAGGGCAGCATTTGCCCAAGGAGAAGACTTAATGAGATAAAGAATAATAAGTCCTTCTAAGGAGGACTGTTAAGTGCGTTTGAAACTGCCAACCTTGCAGTTAGCAGTCCAGTGTTTATCCTATTGCACTACACCAGGAGGAATGTTGTTTCCAAGAAGCAGCAGGTGAGCTTATTAAACAGGCAGCCTCGCAGAGAAAACCCACATCATCTCCAAATACTAAAATGTATAAGCATAAATATCACTTAAGAGATTCAAACATAGCAACGATTGTGAGGGTGATGCAGGACCAGCTTGTGTGTGGTTCTGTTGGACATAGGGTCACGAGGAGTTGAAACCGGCAGCACCTAACGACAGAGAGACTGTTAGGAAAACACAGCCCTCAACAAAGCCAGGCTTCAGTTAGAACAAAAAAGGCAAAAGAAATATTCACAAGAGAAGTATCACATAGTTCCCTGCAGGAGGTGCTACCTGCTCAATTGGTCTCCACATTTTTCTTTTGTTTCTTATTGTTGACCTGATAGATGGACCATGATACCTGAACAGTATGGACTATCAATATCCATTTACTTGAGTTGCACAGAAGGATGGGAAATCCTGTGTTTCAACATGATACTTTTGTCGTTGTTGTTAAGTGCTGTCAACTCAGTTCTGACCCATAGCAACCCTATTCAGGGTTTCCAAAGAGTAGCTTGTGGCTTTGAACCACCAACCTTGTGGTTGGAGATCCAGCACTTATCCTACTTTAATCATGGTTTCATTACTTTGAACAGCCATATAATTGCCATTTTTGTTGTTGTTGTTAAGTGCCTTCAAGTCGATCAAGTGCCAAATGAGCAGTAAAGTTTACTGTTCTTATATTATATTCCTTGCCTGACTTCTACTGGGAAAGGATGAGTTTTTTGTTGTTGTTGTTGTTGTTTTAAATGTTTAAGTTGGGGAAGATGTTAAATTGTTGTCAAGGTTATCTTGGCAAGAATCATTAGCAATTAAAGGTAGTTACTCCCACAGTGGTGTGTAGGTTATAGATAGCTTTGAGAAGTTACATCATGGAGAAAAGGGGTTCTAGCTAAGTACCACATCAGGGATCTTGTATAAGGAAAGCTTCTATACAGCTAACCAACTTCTTAGAAGACCGTTATGGTCTTTTAGCCTTCTGTGGTGTGTCAGTGTTCTTGTTATGGGAAGGTCTAATTAGTTTAATGTGAATTAAATCCCCAGGTTTCATAAGGACTGAAAGATAATGGGTGTATGATGGATGCATGATTGAATTATTGTACAAATTTCACATAGCCACATGGGCTCATTTAGGGGCATCTGGCCGCCTAATATGTACACCATGCTGTGAGCAGGGATGTAACTTGGAGAGTCCAGTGGATGGTTGGTACAAGGCCGCAGCTAATAGGTTACAATAAACCACATTGAACGGTCATCTTGAGCATACTGTTGTGACAGATGCCCCTTCTTAGGGTTACTTAAAGGGAAGAATGAAAAGGAGAAAAGCTTCTTACACTCTTGGGTGTGTGTTGTCTTCTGTTTCAGTGATGACAGTATGGGATATCAGTATCCATTCACTCTACGAGTCGTGCAGAAAGATGGAAATTCCTGTGCTTGGTGTCCATGGTATAGGTAAAGTGACCTTTCTGCAAAAGGAAAAATGGCAGCTTCAGATAAACTATTTTAATAAGATTTCTAGGTTTGAGACTTGTGAAGAGTGAGAAGTTTGAAATAAATTGTAGGAATTGTTCATTCATCTCTTCCTTGTGAGGTTAATAGTTAGGTTTTACTTTTGAGACTAAACTAATTTTATAAACCCCACAGTTCTCACCAGATTCATAGTTTATGATCAGTAGTTTTTATTCTATACCTTCTCCTTAAAAATAAATCTATTTGGCACTTCTGAGCCTAGTAGAATATAGTCTACTTACTAGACCATGCTGGAAGTCTGTCCTAGCAGGGGAAATGCCTGGCAATACTAAAGTCAACTTGTAGAGAAATTTAAGAAGAGACTTAAAAATTGAGTCTAAAATATCCATGGAAACCACGGCTTTGTCATGGTTTCCACACAACCCCCTTAGCCCCTTAATTTTTTTTTTCAAGTTTTTATTATGAATTGAGTGATCGTTTACATGGGAGAACATCGGTTTTATGCTCATTGTTTCATTGCAATGATTACAGTCTCCTCCGTGCATCATCATTCAACCATATTCCATGTGGTTTTTTGTAAGTTCAAAAAAACACTCAGGAATATCTAATCATAATCACTTAAACAACGAAAGGGCACATTCCACAAGCCTGCCTCCTGGCCATAAACACACAGACTTTCTCTTTCCATGAGTCAGCCCCATAAATTTTTATATGCATTTATTTAATGTGTCATTTTTCAGACAAGGAAGTGTTGGTATTGCCAACTAAATTGCCTGCCTCAGAACATTAAATAACTGAATTTAGGATTTCTTTATAACTCTGTGATCTCACATATCTAATTCCCATATCATGTATTTGTCATTAAGCAATCACATCTTTATATGTATTAACAAATGGCTACCACATGCTTCAAATAAACACAAGACTTGAGAAATGATAAGTATGATTCCCTGAAATATTAATAATTATTAGTATTTGTGCACTCAATCAGTCTCTGAAGTTACAAGCCCAAGAAAATAGAGACATAAAAAAGGAACATATTTCTGATAAACTTTGAATCTTTCGTAAGTATTTTTTCTTCAGTGAATACTTTTCGCCCTATAGATTTTGCAGAGGCTGTAAAATTGATTGTGGGGAAGACAGTGCTTTCATTGGAAATGCCTACATTGCTGTGGATTGGGACCCTACAGCCCTTCATCTCCGCTATCAAACATCACAGGAAAGGGTAAGTACTCACGTTACATTTTTTCCTTGGTCCCTCTCACTCTTGGGTCCAAAGGATTAGTCCCACCGAGTCACCGCTTCTCAGTTATACATGAACAATAAGCATTCACTTAGAGCTCTTTATTACAAAGCAAAAGTACGCTTCAGAGAGAGACGTGGGTCTGTCTCTGTGAGTGGAGAAGACCTGGTAGAATTGGGGAGCACAGATTAGATGAGGTCAGAGCAAAAGTACACATCAATCAAAGAGAAAAGCAGGTCTGTCTGTGCAACTGGAGAAGACCTCTGGGCTTGGGGTGGACTGGCTTTATAGAGGAGGCTCTTCCTCTAAGAGTGGGCTAATACATATTAATTAGCAGGAATGGTGTGTTGAATATTCATCCCTTTTTAGTAAAGGGGCACAGGCTTCTTAGAAATGGAGTGCCTTCTGCAGTTGTCAGCTGTGGGTGTTAATCTTCATGGGTTGTCTGCCTGCGGCCAGCTACCTCTATTAGGGTTTCAGGTCCTGATATCCTCATCTCTGTCTCTAGGCTGTTCTTCTCAGTGTTACTATTCTTGTTGGACTAGAGATGTCCTCCCCACTTCCTTAATTCCTGCTTAGTAGGAGAGGACTCATGGCAAAGGGGGTGGATATGAAGCCAGAGTAAGAGAGTCCCAAGGCCCAGGGATCCTAACCTGTCCCTGACACTCAGGAGGACTGTAAGATATGGTGGTTTTTACATGTGAAATTTATCCCAGTTTCAATGCATCATTCATTTCTGTTTTAGACAATTTCAATACACTCAAAATAATGTACATTGGCGTTTTCTATGGCATCTAAATTAATTGAGTGATATGATTGTTTGGGTTTTGCAGTTTTCCCACTACTAGAGTTAATTGCATTGACCCTTTAAATAAAATAAATCTAGAAATGAAATCCTAGGTGTAATTAAAATTTTCTGTTCTTTAGCCATGCATGTCAAGCAGGGAATTTCTCTGCCTATTTATTAAAATATCAGTGAAGCTACAGCATTTGGTAACCACAGCTACTTAGTCCAAAAGCATCCCACTGCTATAGCTGCTACCCTAAATGGGTGTAGTGATCAAGAGAAAATAGAAAAGGAACTGCAATGTTTCAAGATTGGACATCGGAAAATAGGGCTCAAGGGCTGTTCCCCAAAAGTGTCAGTGTTCTTGGACTGCCATTCTCTGGCCATAGCAAATTTTTTTAAATTTGAAAATATCCATTCAAAAAGAATGGGACTCCATTCTAGAATTGTTTGCCTCAGGTAATTTTTAATTGACCAAATATTATTTGAAGAGTAGATTGACTTGAGGTAGTTTGAGAATAGAGATAGGAAGAATCTGATGGAATAGTAGATCACTGTGGAATCTATAGTTTTAAGTCATTAAAAAAGTTTAAGTCATTTAAGGAATTGTAGTGGGTTTTGCGTTTTATGGCACTTGGTTGGTGCAACTTAACCTTGACTCTCTCTTAAAACATTTCCTTTAGGTAAGTTAGTGATTGTAATTGACTTTGTCTTTTTGTGTGGTTGATGAGTGAGGAAACTATGTATTTCCCTGCCTTAACTACCCAAAGCAACTATAAGCTGTTCACTATTCTGAGAGTAACTTCCTTTAACTACCAATAATTGTGTGAAGATAGCTTTTGTTAGTTTCCCAAGTTAGTTTATTGTTGTTGTTGTTGTTTAATTTATCCTTGTCCCATCAAGAGTCATTGCAAGCAGTATGACCTTAATTGACCTTGGGATCTCTGACTATGCCCCACTTGTCCTGAGGTTCCTGGCAGCTCTGACTAGCAAAGGATAAATAGAATTGTAGAGAGTTGCCCAAGTGTAAGATCACTGGACTAAAGCTTAAGGAAGCTGAAGAGAAGTTGGTGTTCCAGCAGCTCATGGTCACTATAGCAAGGTGATTCAGTAACCTCAGCCATGCCTTTTTGAGGAAGAGAAGAAATAGCAGCAGCAGATTGAAAACTTTTAAATCTTGGGCAGCACAAAAGCTGATAAGACTTTATTCTGACAAGACGTAACCAGTCAAATAAGAAAAGTTACTTATCTTTGTAAATCTCTTTCCCGTTTCAACAAGCTTTATGTGCAATCTGAGGACATCCTGCTCACAGACAGAAGGGACTACGTGACCAGTTAAATCTTGACCCACTTCCAGTTTCAGTGTTGCACTTAGGATTCTGGGGAAACCAAACTCTCCTGAGATATCCTGCCTTGTTAGGGAGTGGGGCCACATGACTAATGTGTTCTCTTCCTACATGTAGCTTCTTCTGTATGTGCTTGGTGAGTCATGGAGACAAAGGAGACACACTGTGATTCCAACTTAAAATTATTGACCAGTGATGTCCCTTCTAGAAATTCATTCTAGGAAAATATTTTGTAGTATGTGGAGAAATAGTTGTCATGATATTTTTAGGATAGTGAAAAATTAAAAAGAATTTATATTTGTCCCGTAGTAGAGAAATGGTTAAAGAAAGCATGCTATGTTTATAAACTAAAATATTATAGTCATTAAAATGATGGTGTTTTTACTGACATATTGTTGTTAAGTACCATTGAGTTGGTTACGACTAATAGCAACCCTGACTGGAAGAGATCTGTATTTGTGCCCATTCCAAAGAGAGGTGACCCAACGGAATGCGGAAATCATCGGACAATATCATTCCTATCCCAAGTGAGTAAAGTTTTACTAAAGATAATGCAAAAACGGCTGCAACCAAACATTGACAGAGAACTTCCAGAAGTTCAAGCTGGGTTCAGAAGAGAACGAGGAATGTCATTGCTGGCATCAGATGGATCTTGGCTGAAAGCAGAGAATACCATAAAGATGTTTACCTGTGCTTTATTGACTATACAGAGGCTTTCAGTTGTGTTGATCATGACAAACTATGGACAACATTGTAAAGTGTGAGCATTCTGGAACACTTAGTTTTAGTCATGAGCAACTTCTGCATAGACCAAGAGGCAGCTGTTCGAATACAACAAGGGAACACTGTGAATGGTTTAAAATTAGGAAAGGTGTGCACCAGGATTGTATTTTTTTCACCATATATATTCAATCTGTATGCTGAACAAATAATCCAAGAAGCTGGATTATAGGAAGAAAAACATGACATCAGGATTGGAGGAAGATTCATTAACAACTTGCAATATGCAGATAATACAACCTTGCTTACTGAAAGCAAAGAGGATTTAAAATAGTTACTGATGAAGATCAAAAATCACAGCTTTCGGTATAGGTTGCATCTCAATGTAAAGAAAACAAAACTCCTCACCACTGGACCAATAAACAACATCCATATAAATGGAGAAAAGATTGAAGTTGTCAGAAGACTTCATTTTGCTTGGATCAACCATCAGCACTTATGGAAGCAGCAGTCAAGAAATCAACGTATTGCATTGGGCAGATCTGCTGCACAAGACCTCTTTAAAGTGTTGAAGAGCAAAAACGTCAGTATGAGGACTAAGGTGCACCTGACCCAAGCCATGGTATTTTCAATAACCTCATATGCATGTGAAAGTTGGACCGTGAATAAGGAAGACCATAGAAGAATTGATGCATTTGAGTTATGGTGTTGGAGGAAAATATTGAAAGTACCATGGTCTGTCAAAAGAACAAATAGATCTGTGTTAAAAGAAGTACAGAGTGCTTCTTGAAAGCCAGAATGGCCAAATTTCGTCTCTCATACTTTGGACATATTCTCAGGAAGGACCAGTCACTGGAAATGGATATCATGTTTGGTAAAGTGGAGGGTCAGAATAGAAGAGGGAGACCCCCAATAAGATGGATTGGCACAGTGGCAGCAGCATCAATGGCCTCAAACATAGCAATGATTGTGAGGTTAGCCCAGGACCAGGCAGTGTTTCGTTCTGTTGTGCACAGGGCCGCTATGAGTTGATACCGACTCCATGGCACCTAACAACAACAACCACAATGTGACAAATATAAATTCTTTAAAATTTTCACTATCCTTTAAAGTATTTTCTCAAGACAGATTTTGAGAAGGGTAATTATTGAGGACCAGTATGAAGATGAATTCCTCTCATTATGTTGACAGTTACTGCTAAGGTATAAAGCTTGTTTGAGATGCTTAAAGAAAGAGCTGGACCAGACTGCAATGTGGTGTTCACACAGCTTCCAAATCACATACTGTTCTATCTTGCAGAATATATTGTGGATGTTAGGTGATGGGTGACTATACAGAAAACATCTCTTCATTTAAAAAAAAAAATACCATTCAGGAAAGGATAGAAGAAAATGTACCAATGATTTGGTAGTACTTGCCTCTATATTAAGAGTAATAAAGGAATAAAGGAGTTCCTTACTTTTTTACATTTTTCTCTGCTTTCTAAAATTTCTGCTTGAATATTTCATTCAGTAAGCAGTGGGGAGGGGTAAACTAGAAGGCAGTTACTCTTGTTTCTTCATGTTTATGCCCTGTTTGGACTTGACAGGCCTCGATAGAAAATTTAACTAGATGATTTCTTCAATCTCCCTCTTTTTTTAATAGTCTTACTGTGAAAGCTATTATTTTATTTCTCTGGTTTGTATTAAGGATGAGCTGTTAAAGCAACATGGAGGGAAAAAGTTATTTAGACTGAACATTAATAGAGGATCTGAATGTGGATCTCAAGAGATAAAAGGAATCTTTATCATTTAAGGAAATTGTATCAATAAATAGAAATTACTATTACTCCACAAATAAGCCTTCCTTCCCCTGTGTCTCCATCTAACTCTATAAACCGTGTCTACAGACAATATAGCCAATAAAATCAATATCCTTTACTCGCTTGCTGTAATTTGTGTTGACCATAAAACATACCTGAGAGAGATAACAGAGGTAATATCTAACTGACTGTGAGAAAAGAGACGCTACTTTATTTGGTTTACCTCCTCTTAAAAAGTGTTTGCTTATTCCAACAACTGTAATACAGCATGTTTTCTTTTGAAGCTTGTCAGGTTTTCCTTTGGTTGACCAGAAAGGTATGGGAGTTAGTATCTTGTTAGTAAAGAATTTATGCTCAGAAAAGAAGGAACGTCACTGGCCTATGGTCAAGCCCAGCCTTGATAGTTTATTGAAGTATTTGACCCCCAGTGACTCAGCATCCCCTCTTAAGAGGGAAAAGCCTAACCTTAGAAGCCTGTTCCAAACTGAATGTCCTGAACTCTTGCCAGTGTATAATCTAGGCAATCCCATGTTCCCATCATGAGTTTCAGGAAGGGAAGTCAGAAGGAAGTTACAAGAGAAGTAGAGCACCTCTGAAAGGGATGAGTAATAGGGAAGGTGGGGTGACGGATGCTGTGTGACCTTTGCCAAAGAGAGAAACAGTTGGACTTACGAGGTTCATGGGAAAATTATTCCATTTTTCCAAGAACTTTTTGAATCAGCCCCCTGGTGAGTCCAGGCTCTACCCTGGGATGAAATCCCCCTGTATGAAGTCTCCAGATGGTCTTCATAGTCCTGATCCAATGCCTGCCCCTCCTTTCCACAAGTTCTAGAGGTCGAACCGGAGTCCTGCTTCCTAGTTGCTGCTGCCTTCTTCAGTAGGAACCAGGCCTGGGAAGGGTAAAACGGTTCCTTTTCTGTTGTGCTCTGGGTGTCACCTCCTCTCGCCACCTCCACCACTCCTGCCCCCCTCTGCTGGCTCTCCTTTTTATACTTACCTCCTCCTGTTGCAGAGGCTAGCATGGTGGTAAACAGGAACCCCTCCTCAAAGTTCTGTGCCAGTATTGGAGAGCTTGACAAAGGAAGCACGCTATCCATGAGCTTGCTGCTCCCTTCATTGTCATCTCAGACAAAAAGGTCCCTTGAGGCAGGAGGTAGACAATGATGTACATGGTATTTTGGTAACTCTTTGTTAGGTTGTATCAACGTGCAATTGAGTTGTATCCTGTGTGGTTTGATGCTGTGGTGTGCTGTCTTCTCCTGGTGACCTTTCCTCTGCCTTTTCCTATTTGATCCAGCTCTGACCCCTGTGTTTCCATGACACTGTCTCCCTGTCCTCTGTAGAGTCATTAGCCGACTGGTAATGATCTGTCCTTCTGGTTACAGCTCATGCTAAGCTCGTGTAAGATTTTAAAATAGTGAAAGAAATCGGCAGTCCTTGTTTGTTTTTGTTTTTGTGATTTTGAAGCATGCAGAGATTTTTCAAGAAAAACTATGGTCATAAAAATAAAACATTTATCCAATATGTTATTAATTTGATATTTGTGAATAAATGTACAACAGATTCTATACAACTCAAAGACTCCATTTTGAGATAGTTTTATTTTCCCCCTCATATGGAGTAAAATAGGAGTCCTGGTGTGGTGCGGTGGGCTAATGCATTGAGCTGCAAAGTTGGTTTGAACCATAAGGTCACTGGTTCAAGCTCACCAGCTGCTCCTTGGAAACCCTATACAGGGTTGCTATGGGTCGGAGCCAACTCAGTGGCACTAGCAACAACAAGTGGAGTCAAAGATGAATGAGAGGTTGACACTGAGCCAGGCGTCCATTCTAAGTGTGCCCCTCCCCCCCGCAGGTAATGGACGAGCATGAGAGTGTGGAGCAGAGTCGGTGTGCACAGGCTGAGCCCATCAACCTGGATAGCTGCCTCCGAGCTTTCACCAGTGAGGAGGAGCTGGGCGAGAACGAGATGTACTACTGCTCCAAGTGTAAGACCCACTGCTTGGCAACCAAGAAACTGGATCTCTGGAGGCTGCCCCCTATCCTGGTATGTTGTAGCCACCTCCAAGAGAACAGGAGTCGAGTAAGGCAATGAAGCCTTGAACCAGCAGGAGCTCTTGTTGGTTTTGAGAATAAGATGATCCCTGCAGCGCTGTTTAAAACACTTATTCTGTACAAAGTTCTGATGTTGGGCCCAGAGAGTAATGTAATTGTTCGACAAATATTTGATGTGTCCTGTTTTTCAGGAGTTTGTAGCCCAGACTGAGAGAAGTCCTATAGACCAATAGCTAATTCAACACAAAACGGGAGACAGGCGTGTGCCACAGTGGAACAATCTGGTGAACTTGAATTTGAGGAGAGGTTGAAAGCCCCACTGGCTTTATGAATAATGGACACTTTAGATGAGGCTTTAGGAGGTGATAAAAGAACAACTGACCCTGGATCCCCAGCACCCACTGTGAGTGGTCACGTGACCGACCACTCGCACTACGAAGTGAAGCGTGTGCGTACTTGCACACCTGCACTGGTCCTTACGTGTGCATGTAGATTTGATTCACTTCTGCCTTTTCTCTTCATGGTTTAGGAGACTGTCCTGTTGCTTGTCAGAGTTTATTTTTAAGAAATCTCTCTATCCTCAGTGGCCCCAATGGTCCATTTGAACCTGCTTTTAGGTTAGTCTGCTCCGTCACTTGACTTGACTTCCTCCCATTCTGCTCTCTTGTTTTCTCCTCCCCCTTCATCCTCACCAGATGGTGGCTAGATACATGGCCCAGCACAAAGCAAGCATGCCTGTCTTTATCCCGCTGTTCTGAGAGGCTGTGAGTGTAGAGTTTTCCTTCCTTAGATTCCCAGGGTTCCTGGGGTGGAGCTGTACCATGAACACTGGACTAACCAACACACACCAGACAGCTGCTCAGGAATTCATTTATGAAGGGGCTTCAAAAAGCTCGTGGAAAACGGAATTAGCAGTTCAAACCCCCCAGCCACTCCTCAGAATCTTAGTGCTTATTCCCAGCACCACACCACATTTTAAATAGTTTGATGAATTATGACAACTGTATATTTACCTGTAACCATCACTCAAGATATAAAGGATTTTTTTTTAAAAAAAAAAAGCATGTTTTTGAGCCCTGTAAAGAATACTGAAAAATAAACATTGTGTATTGTTAGATTTCATATACGTACATTAAGCCTATTTTTAAAATGTAGATGTTGTACAAGGGAGCTTCAGAAAGGTCATGGGAAAATCCCACTGTCTTTTTGTTCCAATTTTCCATGAACTTTTGAAGCCCCCTCATATCTTGCAGTCCTTTAACACAGATGTTTTCTACTTTTTCCCCCTCTAGATTATTCACCTTAAACGATTTCAATTTGTGAATGGCCGGTGGATAAAATCCCAGAAAATTGTTAAATTTCCTCGTGAAAGTTTTGACCCGAGTGCTTTTTTGGTACCAAGGGACCCAGCCCTCTGCCACCGGAAACCACTCACACCCCAGGAGGACGAGTTCCCTGGGCCACAGGTTCCAGTAGGAGAGGTGCAGAAAGTCGAGGTCCAGAGCTCAGCTGGGGACGAGGGTGTGCTCCTGAGCAAGAGCCCATCCTCATTGAGTGCAAACGTCATCAGTAGTCCCAAAGGTGAGGGGGCTGGGGACCCGGAGGGGGTTCTCACCAGTGTCCCCTGCTCGGAAGTGGGTGGAGTCTATGTGGAACCCAACCTATCTGGAGTCGTGCTTTGTGACTTTCAGCAAGTGTCGCAGCTCTCTTAAATCTGCCTTCTCATCTGAATACCGGAGATGAGACCAGGTTGACAGTGTGAGGATCTGAGCTGTCAAGTGTGAACACATCAGTGGTGCTTGTCATCCTTTCTTCTTCCCTTCCACAGAGGTTCTCAAAGTGTCATCCAGGAACTTCTGAGGAAACCCTGAGACTCTCTTGTGGGTTGTGGCTATCACAAATGCCTTGAAGTATACTGGAGTCAGGCACAGCAGGGCATGGAATGATGCCAGCGCTTTGATAATGATGTGTGCTAGTTATTTTTGTTTTAAAAATTCTACTTTAATTTCTAATACAGTAAATATTGATAGATACAACTCACATAAATGAAATTTTGGGGGGTCCACAACAATTTTTAAGAGTATAACAGTGAGTAGGAGACAATGACCAAAAAGACAGTACTTAATAAATGGTTATTTCATGTGTATATACTCATACACGTGTATGAGTGCGAAATGCCTATCCACATCTACAGCTGATGACAACATTGAGTGTGCGTGTGAAATTACTCCCATAATACCTGGCCTTCTATTAGCAACGTCGTGGTGTGGTGCTATAGGATAAGCACTGGACCACAAGATTGGCGGTTTAGACTCAACAGCCGCTCCTCAGAAACCCTATACAGGGTCTCCATGAATCAGAACCAACTGGACAGCACTTAACAACATATTTATCTGATCATTTACAAGAAGAGGAGGAGTATGTATTTATAAAACTCCGTAGTATGATCATAATGTTGTCTGTAACTGACTCTGACATCAGTTACCTTTCTGCTGTTGTGTGAGTCTGTGGCACTTCATGTTTTCAAGATGTGGTTACCTATCAGGTCATGCCATTGAGGAAGACACGAATGTAACTTAGTGGCTGCATGATAGGAACTAAAGAATAGCCACACTGCATTTCCAAACTTTGTGTTGTTGTTGTTGTTAAGTGCCATTGAGTTGGTTCAACTCATAATGACCTTGCCTACTGTTTCCAAGAAGCAGCTGGTGAGTTTGAACCGCTGACCTTTTGATTAGCAGTCCAGTGTTTATCCTACAGTGGCCACACCAGTACACTTATAAAACTGGGTTCAAAATTAGCATTTGGTGACAGATGTAACTTGTGGCATTTTGAATTTATGAATCTTCCATCCCTCCCTTTCACAGGTTCACCTTCTTCATCAAGAAAAGGTGGAACCAGCTGCCCTTCCAGCAAAAGCAGCAGCCCTAACAGCAGCCCACGGACTTTGGGGAGGAGTAAAGGAAGGCTTCGGCTGCCCCAGATTGGCAGCAAAAACAAACTGTCCAGTAGTAAAGAGAGCTTGGATTCCAGCAAAGAAAATGGGGCTGCACACGTTTGTGAGCTGGCTGATGCCTTGAGCCGAGGACACATACTGGGGGGCAGCCAACCCGAACTGGTCACCCCTCAGGACCATGAGGTAGCTCTGGCCAATGGATTCCTTTATGAGCATGAGGCATGTGTCAATGGCTACAGCAATGGTCAGCTCGAAAACCACAGTGAGGAAGACAGCACTGATGACCAAAGAGAAGATACTCGTGTGAAGCCTATTTATAATCTATATGCAATTTCGGTGAGTTTGGTTTTCAAAGTGAACTGTACTTTTCAGTGGTTTGTTCATTTGTCTTCATTCAGCAAGCGCTTGATCAGGTCCTGTGAACTTGGTGATACAGAGATAAAGTCAACAATACATGTCTTGGCCCTCTGGATAGAGCCCCAGGAGCGTGGTGAGTGGTCATGTAATTAGAGTTCGCTGGGCTTAGAACCTGATAGTGGGAAGTGTCAGGTTTGTTGGAAGTCACAGGAAGACAACAAACTGAACAAGGAGCCCAAGAGCAGTGGACATTCTAGTGTGTTTCTGAAGGGTAGTAAAAATGAACCAGTCGGAGAAGGGATAGTGGGAGGAAGATGGACCCAGATAGGCAAACACACATACAAAGTTAAGGAAGTACAAGAAGATATAACTCTTCCCAGCAAAGGCCAGAAGTTCATTATGCCTGGAGTCACAGTTCAAGCCATTCCTAATTGTAAGTTCCTAGGGGACTTTTTGGGAGTTCCGGTGTGGGGCTGTTGGTAGCACTGGACCACATGGTCAGTGGTTCAGATTCATCAGCAGCTCCTTGGAAATCTTACACAAGATCGCGATGAGTCAGAATCGACTCGATAGCCCCTTACTACTGCTACTATGACTACTATACTGGGGCACTCTCGGGGCTCCCTAAGTGATGCAAATGGTTAACATGCTTGACTGCTAACCGGAATGTTGGAGGTTTGAGTCTAACCAGCAGTAGAAAAGAGGAAAAAGGTCTGGTAATCTCCTGTGGAGCACAGTTCTACTTGGATGCATGTGGGGTCACCGTGAAGTAGAATCAACTCAGCAGCAACTTTTTTTTTTTTTAAGGGACTTTTTAGTTCTGAAAAATAATTACATTAAAATGGTTTTCATCTACACAAAATTTGGAGTTTCTGACTTTTGAATTTTACCTTTGATTGTTTGTCTATTGATGGCTCCAAAACAGTTTATTCTTAATGAGCTAAGTGATCACTTGTCCCCTTGGAAGATGCTAAGACTGTACCGTCGCCATGGTAACTGTTAATTAACTAGCACGCCTCCTCTTTCTGCTCTCTTTGCAGTGCCATTCAGGAATTCTGGGTGGGGGCCATTATGTCACTTATGCCAAAAACCCCAACAGCAGGTGGTACTGTTACAACGACAGCAGCTGTAAGGTAAATATCCTCAACCTTTGAATGAGAGTTAGGAGTGTCAGCAGACCTGGGAGCACTGCTCAAAAAGAAACTTTTCCCCACTTAGGAAATGGCTGTTTCTGTTAGTATCAATGTACGGATGCCTGTACTATGAAAGGAACAGTAACAGTATGTGGAGTAGGGAATGTAAGCATTGAATTGTGAGTAAAAGAAGGAATTTATTAATGAGGAAACGTTGCCTTTTGCACTTTTGGAATTTTGATGGGCTTGTTTTGTTTGCTGATTTTGTCATTCTTTTGACATGTCTGTTGTCGGAATATTTTCCCCACAATGAGCGTTGAAAATACTTGGGCTCATTTTGGGCCAAATATTAAGGACTGAAGTTCAAGCTGATTGAGAGGAAGCCACCAGCTTGGGTGTCTAGAGATGATTGGTCTTCTGTCCCACATGGTTGCTTTCTTGACGGCTTTTCTCTCCGCTCCAGGAACTTCACCCTGATGAAATTGACACCGACTCTGCCTACATCCTTTTCTATGAGCAGCAGAGGACAGACTATGCACAGTTCCTGCCAAAGATCGATGGCAAGAAGATGGCCGACACGAGCAGCATGGACGAAGACTTTGAGTCTGATTACAAGAAGTACTGCGTGCTGCAGTAACGCTACCACTCTGGCTGCTAGACAGTCTCGGGGTGAGGGAGGTGACTCCCTGGAGCTGGCATTTGGCAAAAGCGTTGCTGAAAGGCAAACTAAATGTAGTTATTTGATCCTGTGACCCTGAAGCACAAAATAAAAATTCTAATTAAATAGCAGTTAGGGTAACGATAGTAATAACTTTGTTATGAAGTGTCTCACACAAGCTCTCTGGTAGAGAAAATTCAGGCAGAGCCCACCATTAGCCTGTAAACAAAAGGGTTTGGCACCCTCCACCTGGGACCAAATAAGAACTAAATTGTGCTTGTCCAGATATGAGCAAACATGTAGTGAATATAGAGTTTACCAGTAATTGTAACAAAATACTAAGGATCTCCTTGGCATCAAAGTTAAAAACGAAAACAAAAACTTGTAGTGTTGTCTGGGGACGACATGACATGCTACCTCCTTTTTCCTGAAGTTTTATTCCATTATATTGACAAGAAAAGGAAAGCAGACTCATGAAGGTGTGCAGATGATTCTGACAGCGTGAACACCGATTTTTAGACTTATTTTTTAGACCATTTCCCCACTCTTTCTGTGTCTTTCTGGCTTTTTGTTTTTGTTCTTGTTTTCGACACACAGCCAGTCGTTGGTGGCAGAAGTCTGACATGGTCAGTCTGAATGGGGGAATCTCGAGGAGCAAGGTGCGCACTGACCCGGAGCCTTGGTGGGGAGACCCTGAGAGAGGGAAAACAGGCCGGGAAATCCCTTCAGGTGGCGGCCTCTTACTCTGAGGATCGTCACTGTGTCTTCACAGCTGTACCTCCCAGCTTCAGATATGTTGTCATTTGTTCTGTCTTTGCCTGCCCATGTTGCACAAAGAACTGGGCCGAAAAGCTGCTTCACAGCTAAGCGGCATCTCACAGTTAGCCGTTGTTTTGTTTGTTGCTTTGTTTTGCACTTTATAAAAAGGAGCGAAGACATGCAGAGAACTGAGTCGGGATATTTTCCCCCATCATATTAAACTTTTTAACAAAACACATCTCAAACATTGATAGTTCCTACGTATTGTTGATGATATTGGTGGTTTTAGGAAATTAACTTGAGTTTTGTTTGCGTGTCCTTTTTTTCCTTTTCCCTTAATTTCTCAGTTAATTGCTCACTTCATATTTTCCTTTCATTATTCAAGACTGGAACAAAGATATAAATGTTATTTATTTCAGGTATTTTAAAATATTTTTTTTCCTGTGTTGTTTTTTAACATACATTTGAAGTACATAGTGTACTTTTTTTGTTCTGTTCTGTTTTGTTATTATTCAGCTGGAGCCTGGAAGCTGATTCTCATTAATTGCTAGATTCCATTAGCTTTCCTTCTTAGATAGTAGGTACCAATACAATTAAGTGTTTGTGCTCTGATACCTGAAGTCGGTTACTGTCCGTTTCTTCTCAGAGCACTGAGGAAGGTTGTCTTAAATGGCTACTTAAGTCAAAACCCTTTTCAGAAGGGAGACTATCATTGCCAGTAAGAAAGAGAAGCCTGACTGACAGAATGTCAGACAACATGCAGACATCGTCTTTTCAGGATATTCCATATTCAGAATCTGTCCATCTACTTGGACAAGTCTCATGAAAAAGGGGAAGATTTTCAATGATTTCCTTACATACGTTTTATTTAAGCAGGTAGCACAATCTACTAATGTTTGATCTGTATTTGTTATATTGGTTGTAATTAATTTTTTTTTAATTCACAAATTAGCAGAAATTTTATTAACTTAATTATTAACTACATTCACCTTGTAAATTGCTGTATAAAACTTGTTGACAATGCACTGACTTTAGAAAGATGTAAATGTACATAAATAGCGTGTAAATAAACTAGTGTTGATGTACTGAAATATGAACTGTATAAAGTATTGGTAATTGTATATGGAGTGTACCTGTTTATCTGTAACTATTATCCAAACAAATTAAATACTGTGGATGCATCTCTCTGCTCTGTTTCCTCTCTCTCCAAATAAACACAAGCTGTCAAGTTCTTCAGCCTTTCTCTCTGGGCGTGGTCTAATCCTCTTACTTGAATACGATTCCTGACTTTAGAGTCCTTATGCCATCTCTATGGGACTGGAAACAGTTTTCAGGTTAGTAGACGATACCTAGAGTGACCCGATGATTTGATTTAACCCCATCTCACATCCCTGTTAAGATTGGAAGGCATTAAAGTAGGGAGAAGAAGAGTAGAGAACAGGTGGTAAATTGAGAATTGGCAGAGGAGAGATCCTATCGTAGTTCAGTGTGTTTTTGACGTTTATTTTTGTTACTGTTGCTAAGAATACATACAGCAAAAGTATATCAATTCAGTTTTTCTACATGTTAATTCAGTGACATTGATTATATTCTTCAGACTAGACCCATTCTTACCCTCCTTCATTTCTAGGTTATTCTTTCCCCATTAACATAAACCCTCAGCCCCCTAAGTCTCCTATTGAATCATTTAATTTGAAGAACTGTCTATGTGGGGTCAAATGTTGCCAGAGTGATCCCATATAGATAGGTCTTAAAAGAGCACAATGTTCGAAGTAGACATTCTTTACTTGTTGTTAAGTGCCGTCGAGTCAGTTCCGAACCATAACAACCCTGTATAGGGTTTCCAAGGAGCAGCTGGGGAGCTTGAATCACTGATGTTGCAGTTCAAACGAAGTAGACATTCTTACTAGCTCCCATAAATTATTGCTTATAAGACTTTAAGGAGTATTTTTGGTTTAAGGTTCAAAAATTATTCCGGGGGTTCATCCAGCCTCCATGAGAATTTGAAATTCTGTTCTGCAATTTTTCCCTTTCAATCAGGATTCTTCTGCAGAATCACTGATCAAAACGTTCAGTAATGATAACCAGGCACCATTCAGGTCTTCTGGTCTAATTCATGGTAAGGGAGGCAGTTGTTCATAGAGGCAATCAGCCACACATTCCACGTGTTATTCCTAACTCTTCTTCATCTGTTGTTCCAGGTAAGTAGACACCAATTGTTGCACCTTAGATGGCCCCATGCAAACTTACAAGACTCCAAGTGCTGCCCAGCAAAGTAGAAGCACTAATCATGTTATTAGGCCAGTTCATTGGGATAGTTTATGAAACTTCTAAACCAAGGGAAATTCCATGAGGCGTTTTGGTGGTATCCCCAATAGCTACTCTTGTCGTAAATAAATCTGTCACAACTGGTCCTTGATGCAGAGTAGTGGGAATGGTGTCAACTCATAGCAACCCTGTATAGGGTTGTAAATCTTAAGGGGAGCAGAAGCCATCTTCCACAGAGCAGCTGGTAGATTAGAACTACTGACCTTGCAGTTAACAACCCACTATATTATTAGCACTCTTCCCTCACCGCCCCTGCCCCCATTTGTTAAAGCTATCCACTTTTGGATTTTTTAAAACATTTTGTTGTAAATTGGGTGAAGGTTTACAGACAAGATCATCAGCTCTACCTTCAGCAAACTGTACCCCTTTTTTGTCTCAATGATTACAGCCCCCTCCCTACAACTTCCTAATTCCTCCCAGTGTCTCCCCATTTACATCTTACATTTCACAAACGAACAGGGCAAAAATATTTGGTGTACACTTACAAAACAGGAATAGTCATTTAAATGTCTAAAGGGTAAATTCTGCCAGCCACCCTCCTGTTCGTAGGCACACAGCCACATCTCTGCTGTTGCCGCTTTTCAAAGTAGGAATCTCACGCCCACTCGTGCTCTTCCTTCTTGATGGTCCCAAAAAGTCAACAGAAACAGTACTGTGCCTCTAATGGTCCCAATCTGCTACTGGCTTTTTAAAACAGCATTGAGAAGACCAGCTTTTACATGTGGGCAAGCACTATGTTTAGTTTCCTGTTGTTAAGTGCAGCTACGGGAGCAGAAAGCCTCTTCTTTCTCCCATGGAGCAGCTGGCAGTTTCAAACTGCTGACCTTAAGGTTCTCAGCCCGACTCATAACCACTACGCGCTATGAGTTGGTTCCAACTCCTCGGCACATAACCACCACCAGAGCTCTTGGTGGCCCACCAATTGAGAGAGGCCCCTTTAGCCTCTGGCTGAGGATGGGAAATTCTAGTGGAGTCTCTCCACCACTTGGTGGCGTTGTTGTTGTTGTGCCATCGAGTCGGAACCGACTCATAGCGACCCCAAGCAAAGCAGAACGAAACAATGTCCGATCCTGGGCCAACCTCACTACTGACCCTCCACCTTACCCAGAATGACATCCTTCTCCAGCGACTGTTCTCTCTGGACAATGTGTCCAAAGTATGAGAGACGAAGTCTAGCCATCTAGGCCTCCAAGGAGCACTCTGGTTGCACTTCTTCCAAAACAGATCTATTGGTTCTTTTGGCATTACTATTAATTCCTTTTTAACTTGGGGACACCATCAAAATGGAGCAAATAAATCATTTGCCACACTTTCACCAGCTTTTTTTTGTTTGTTTGTTAAGTTTTTATTGTAGATTGGGTGAAAGTTTACAGGGCATATCATCAGTTTTACATTCAACAAATTATACACCTTGTTTCATTAAAATGATTATAATCCCCTCCATGTACCATCAGTTAACAGTATTTCTCTCCACTTTAGCTTTTTAAAATTAAAAAAAAAAAACACTCAGGCATATATAATAATTTACATCTCCAAAGGACACATTGTGCAAGTCTGCTCCTGGCCACCAGCTCTTAGTCCTTCTCTTCTTAGTCCATGAATCTAGAGTCCTCAGCCACTCCTCCTCTCCATGCCCCCTTCTCTGCCTCCATCTCTGGCACTGCTGTTTCTCTGGATAAGGTCCCGCATTCTGCTTATGCGTTTCTCTCTTGATGGTTCTAGGGTCCTCTGTTTCTGGACTGTAAGATTAACCACTCCCCTATTTTTGTTACAAAACTTCTACCTTTACAATTATGACAGTCGAAATTAGTCATGATAACAATTATTCACTATTGAATCTTTCGAATTTTATCCCCATCTCTTTTTACCAGACCCATCTAGACAAGATGACAGCTATTCAGTGGGGACTCTTTCTCCCCCCCCCCCATACTCTTAAACTCCCTCTTGAAACCTTGTAAGCCAGTCATTTTGTGCCTTTATTGGCCCCTCATTTTAGGTAGCCAATGTCTAAGTTGCCCGTCCCTATTTACCCTGTATAC